TTTGGTTTACTCTATGCCACGCCTCTCATTTTCCAGTTTCAAATAGGCATTTAAGAATGCCTATCTGTACTTCAGGCAACACTAAAAGCTACAGTAATCAAAACAGCATGGTACTGGCACAAAAACAGACATATAGATCAATGCAACAGAACAGAGAGACCAGAAATAAACCCACACACCTAACGTCAGTTAATCTTCAACAAAGGCAGCAAGAATATACAATAGAGAAAAGACAGTCTCTTCAACAAGTGGTGCTGAGAAAGCTGGAAAGCTACATGTAAATCAATGAAATTAGAACACTCCCTCACACCATACACAAAAATAAACTCAAAATGGTTTAAAGACCTAAATATAAGACATTACATCATAAAACTCCTAGAAGAAAACATATAGGCAAAACATTCTCGGACATAAATCATACCAATATTTTCTTAGATCAGTCTCTCAAGGCAAAAGAAACAAAAGCAAAAACAAACAAGTGGGACCTAAGCAAACTTACGAGCTTTCTCACAGCAAAGGAAACTACCGACAAAATGAAAATACATTTTATGGAATGGGAGAACATGCTTGCAAACGATGCAACCAATGAGGGGTTAATATACAAAACATACGAACAGCTCATATAACTCAATATCAAAAAACAAACAACCCAATCAAAAAATGGGCATATAAGTCCTAAATAGACATTTCTCCAAAGAAGACATACAGATGGCCAACAGCCACATGAAAAGATGCCCCACATCACTAATTATTAGAGAAATGCAAATCAAAACCACAATGAGGTATCACCTTACACTGGTCAGAACGGCCATCATCAAAAAGTCTACAAATAATAAATTCTGGAGAAGGTGCGGAGAAAAGGAAACCCTCCTACACTGTTGGAGGAACTATAAGATGGTGCAGCTACTATGGAGAACAGTATGGAGCTTCCTTAAAAAACTAAAAATAGAGCTACCGCATGATCCAGCAATCCCACTCCTGGGCATATATCTGGAAAAGATGAAAACTCTATTTCGAAAAGATACACGTACCCCAACGTTCATAGCAGTACTATTTACAATAGCCAAGACATGGAAACAACGTAAGTGCCCATAAACAGATGATTGGTTTAAGAAGATATGATATATACATATACAATGGAATATTACTCAGCCATAAAAGGAATGAAATATTGCCATTTGCAGCAACATGGATGGACTTAGAGATTATCATAATAAGTAAGTCAGAGAAAGACATATACATATATATTGCTTTTATGTGGACTCTAAAAATTAATACAAAAATGAATCTGCATACAAAACAGAAACAGACTTACAGACATAGAAAACTTACGGTTATCAAAGGGGAAAGGGATGAATGATGGACAACTTAGGAGTATGGAATTAACAGATAGAAACTGCTATACATAAAACAGATAAGCAATAAGGATTTGCTATATAGCACAGGGAACTATATTCGCTATCTTATAAAAACCTATAATGGAAAATAACCTGAAAAAATATATAACTTTGAATCACTTTGCTGTACACCTGAAATTAACACAATATTGTAAATCAACTATCATTCAATTAAAAAAAATAATGCTGAATGCCTGTCTCTAGTTCTCTGGGCAGTCTCTTGGAATGAAGGTGCTACACAATATAAAATGCCAACGAATCAGTTATTGCACCGGATTCCTGGCGTTCAAATTGGAATGGGAGGAAAATGGCTGCTTTCTGAGGTGCAGACAAGAGGGCTAGTTGCTGGGAAGATGCTTCCTAAGCCTGGAAATAAAGTTTTGACTGTGCTCATTCAAAGGCCTATGTCCAGTCGAGGTCTGCATATCCATGGAGTCAGCCTTCTCTAGTCACTCCGATCCAGCATGCTCACTACTGCCTCCTTGCACCTCTTGAGAAGCTTCGAATCACAGAGTGGTGCCTATTAGTCTGGACTGTTTTATGTATTGTCCAGTTTTTCTAACAAAATGGTAACTTCCATATGTTTTCTTTTATATTCATATCCCCCATATCCTTTGCCAAGTGGGGACCATGTAGTGACCATTATCTTCTTTTTTACATTGTGATAAAATATACATGACATAAACTTCACCATTTTCACCATTTTTAAGTGTACAGTTCTGTGGCATTAAGCACATTCATATTGCTGTGCAACTATCACCACCATCCATCTCCAGAAATGTTTCATCATCCCAAACTGAAACTCTGTACCCATTAAACCATAACTTCCTCTCCTCCCCTCCTCCCTAACCCCTGGCAATAACCATTTGACTTTCTGTTTCTATGAGTCTGACTAGCCTTATATAACTGGAATTGATCATACAATCTTTGTTCTTTTGTGTCTGGCTTATTTCACTTAGCATCACGTTGTCAAGGTTCTTCCATGTTGTAGTGTGTGTCAGAACTTCATTTCTTTTTTAGACTGAATGATATTCCATTGTATGTATATACCACATTTTGCCTGTTCATTCATCCATGGATGGACATTTGGGTTGTTTCTTCATTTTGGCTATTGTGAATAGTGCTGCTATGAATGCTTGTATTAAAATATCTGTTTGAATCCTTCTCAAATTTTTGGGGTATATACCCAGTAGTAGAATTGGATCATATAGTAGTAGTAGTTGGATCATATGGTATTTCTCTGTGTGTGTGTGTGTGTGTGTATGTGTGTTTTGAGGAACCACTCTACTACTTTCCACAGTACTGCACTGTTTTACATTCCAATGAGCAATGAACGAGGGTTCCAATTTCTCTACATCCTCCCAACACTTATTTTACCATTATTCTTCCTACTTAATCCTCATAACAAATGAAAAATTTTACTGTATCTGGCATCTGTATTACACTTCACAGTTGACAATTTTTTTTTGCATATATTACTCCTTTAAACCATTATAATAATCTTCGGTTTAAGTGTTACATTTTTATTACGAAAGAAGAAACTGAAGCTTAAGGGTGTTACATTACTTGTCCAAGACCACAGAGCTAATAAATGGAAAAGTCAAATACATAACTTTACTCCTGACTCTTTTCTTATTGGGAAAATTAAACAGTCAACGTTCTTTGAGATTCTCCCTTGCATGCTCTGTTCACTCTGAATCACAGCATTGAGAAGTTTCCAGGAAAGGATACTTGCTGTTTTCCCACATCTCCTAAGGTATCCAAAAAAAAAAAAAAGGCTTAAATAAGTAGCAGGGGTGATTTAGGTTAGATATTAACTGGGTGGCTGACGCTGGTGAGACATTGGCAAAGATTACCAAAGGATACTTTGAGATAATTCCCGTCTTGAAAAGTGCTATGGGTTGGATTCCATCCCGGTAGATGCCTGAGGGTGCAGGGAGTAATTCGATGAATGCTTGTTAATTATTCGAAAGCAGGGGACAAATTGGATGACTTCATAGAGTTTCTTCCATTCTCTGATTCTAATAACAAAAATTCTACTGAATGGATTTGTACTACTCAAGAAAGTTGTTCTCCGGTTTTGGGGAATGGGTCTTTTTTTCTTGACCCCCTCATCTTTAATCTCTGGAGAAGGCCTCACTCAGTTCCATTTCATACCCTCAGAGTTAACCAAGGCCTTGGGGGAGAGGTCAGAGATGACCTAACTCACCTGGGGTCCTGAGCTACATCCTGGGCAGTTAGCTTTCTATAACACTGTCGATCTGATTTCACTTTGCTCTCCAGGGAGATCTGAAGGAGTTGCAATTTTGGCCTGAGATGCAAGGGGACAGCTTCAATTTTCAACCTTTATGGGTCGTCACTGCTGAAGCATAAAGAAGGGACAAGGTAGCTGGCTGAAGACAGTTAGCCTAGAAGAAAGATACCTAGTAGGGAAAATAAAATTATCTGGGTATTTGTCTAGATGCTGCCGCAGTCATCTATCTGTCTTAGAGCAGCAGTCTGTAGGGTATTTAGACATCCATGTGATTTTACTCATGGTTGAAACTCCCTTCCCTCTCTGACAGAATTGTAAATTGTACACCTTTTAATGACCCTATAAGCAAGACTAATTCTGCTTCCCTGATGTGCTTAATATTTATGCGTTTTAGTTTCCTCTTTATTCAAAAGAAAGAGTCAAAACTTCCCACCTCACAGTTGTTAGAGAGAGAAGTAATGAAGCTTTCTGAAAGGTAGCATGCATTCCAAGTACTTTAAAGACCCTTTCAGGAGAATGTTGAAATTAAGGAAAAACTATTGTAGAAGTCATTTAACAAAATGCTTCCTAAAAAATTAAGGTAATGCACCATATGCAAACAAAAGTGGTAATCAGTTAATAAGTAATGTGCATTTGAAACTCAAAAAGATAAAAATAAGAAGAAAATTATTATTTTTTTAAAAAGCAAAAGTACTGCCTCTCACCCACATCCTCTTTCTTTCCTTTCCTATTCTTTGAAGCCCCCTTGCTGGTGGCCCTTACTTCCTACACTTTATTTATTTATTTATTTATTTTTGCTGTGTTGGGTCTTCGTTTCTGTGCGAGGGCTTTCTCTAGTTGCGGCAAGCGGGGGCCACTCTTCATCGCGGTGCACGGGCCTCTCACTATTGCGGCCTCTCTTGTTGTGGAGCACAGGCTCCAGACGTGCAGGCTCAGTAGTTGTGGCTCACGGGCTGAGTTGCTCCGCAGCATGTGGGATCTTCCCAGACCAGGGCTCGAACCCGTGTCCCCTGCATAGGCAGGCAGATTCTCAACCACTGCGCCACCAGGGAAGCCCCACTTCCTACACTTTAATTGACAAGCGAAGAACTGGGTTTAGAGGGGCAGTCACTGCAGCACTGCTTTAATAAACAGCCCAGCTTTTTCAAAAGGCCAGCACTGTTGATCTGAGTAGAGGTCACACTGCTCCTGCCTAGCGCAGGACATTTAGTTTTTAGAACCACAGACCAGAGAATGCAGAACCGGGGAGGGTACTCAGTGATGAGCCCATCCAACCAACCCTGTAATTGTTCAGATAACAGAACTGAAGCCAGGACAGGTGCTGATTTTTTTTCTCTGTTACATTTCAGAGCTGGAAATTGAAGAATGCAATGAAAAGCGAGGTAAAAAAAAGGCAAGGGTATATACCCATTTATCTCATACCCAGGGGGTGCTTATTTGCAAGTAGGCCTGCCTTCAGATGGTCCACTGGGTCTGCAGAGTTTACAGAACTAAAGATCCCTCCAAAGCAGGCATCGTCTCAACAAATGCATGGAGTTAAGGCCAAGAGAACTTAGCTTAGCGCTTACCTGATCCTCATTCTGGCAGAACTCCCTTCTAAGCCCAGATCACTTCACATAAGATTAGAAACTGCCCTCCAAAGATCTGCCTCTTTACCTCTTCAGGGCAGCTGGAGGCTTCTGTTGGCAGCTCTAATCAGTCCAAGATCAGCACTAATCCACAAACCTCAATCACTCTGTTTTCAACTCCTCGAGATTGCTTTCTCTCAAATTTAATTGTCTGAATTTTAGCGTCTGTGATAAGAACTCAGGGGTAATATCACACACCTCCAGAATCCTTCCACTGATTACGGACTGTGCCCAGCAAGTGACAAAAGTAGGATTTAGGCAATTAGGAGTGCAGGATTTTCTCGGCCTCGCCAGGATCTTCAGAGAATGTCATGCTGTGCACACTCTCATGGAGCTGGCTTGATTTTGCAATTTTTTACAGCCTATTGTAATATACGGCCTATCTTGAAGCAGGTCCCTGTCCAAGCATGCTTTGATGTTTTATGAAATAAGTGGCAAAATCCAGGATTTAAACATCAAAAGTAGAACTCCACATTTCTCTGTTTTATTCTGTAAGATTTAACGTGTCAATTATATCTTTAATCACAAAAGAGCATGGTGAACAAAATGTGCTGTTGTGGGATTATGAAAATGTCTTAATGATTTTATATAATTTAAAATCTTTCTACCAAGAAAATTTATTATATTTATAAGTCATGTGTTTTAAAGACGCCCTCCAGGTGTCGTGGGGCTTGTTGGGCCTCCGAGAGGCTTTGTGACACTGGATCGTAGGCACCCCCTCAGCCCCACCAAGGTGGGAAACACTGACTTCCAGGTTTTTGGCTACCTTCAGGTTTTATGATTCCATGAAAGCGCTAAGCTCGTCATCATTAAAAATGGATCACTAGGGCCTGGGTGATGGTTTTGATATTATAATAGTTTTACTGTTTTAAAACCCCAGATTTGGGACTTCCCTGGTGGCACAGTGGGTAAGAATCTGCCTGCCAATGCAGGGGACACGGGTTCGAGCCCTGGTCCGGGAAGATCCCACATGCCGCGGAGCAACTGAGCCAGTGCACCGCAACTTCTGAGCCTGTGCTCTAGAGCCCGTGAGCCACAACTACTGAGCCCGTGTGCCACAACTACTGAAGCCTGCATGCCTAGAGCCTGTGCTCCACAACGAGAGAAGCCAGCGCGATGAGAAGCCTGTGCACCGCAACGAAGAGTAGACCCCCGCTCGCTGCAACTAGGGAAAGCCCGGGCGCAGCAACGAAGACCCAACACATCCAAAAATAGATTAAAAGAAAAAAAAAAAACAGATTTGGAGCTGGAATGCTTCAAGAAATCTCTACTTGAGGAGCTGAAGACACGACAGGTGGTCCTCCAGGAGGGGTGGGGACTGGCAGTACGTTATTGTTACTCACACACCTGTGAGTTCTGCTTCTTTGGTGTTTTCGTCAGCGTGACTAACTAAAATGCTCTTTGTTCTTTGTTCCAGAGTCAGAGAAATCCCTGCCACGTGGCACACAGATGTACAACTCTGGGCAAAGGTTTCCACAAATACCATTTCTTCACTCCAAAGTCCATCTATGTGTATTTCCTGAAATACAGAATGCTGCATGTCTGTCTGCTGGTCTCTTATCCTAGGAGCCTCAGCAGCAGAGGCAGAAGGAGCTCCTATAACTCTGGAGATAAAAGACTGGCTCACACAGGCTGATGCTGCTTAGGGGCACTCATGGACTTTATTTACTGTTCTTTATTCAAACGTACATAGTGTCTGCACTGACAGAGGCAGCCCAGAAAAGAGAAACTGTGTCTATTGTAACTTTTACTTAAGTGGTGTAAATGAAAAGATCATCACCCAAAGATTTGGTGAGATTTCCATTCAGAGAAAGAGAATGAGTTCAAACAAACAAAAGAAGACAAGATCTGGGATTAGGTTTGATGGTCTGAAACATACAAGGAAGAAAATAAAATTTCTGATTCCATATCTGGGAGAAAAATCAGAATTTTCAATGGCTATATGACCCTGCCCCCACCCACCCCTCCCATGAAGAGAGGCAATAGGGAGGTGCTTGAATTCTTTCAGGTCCTATGGTTGCCACTGAGTAATTTGTTTCTTAAGCGTCTCACATAAACATGGCTGAAATAACAGATAAAGCTCATGTGGGTGCCCAACTGGGGGGAGCGCATTTCTAATGTCCAAAGGCCATGTGACAATGCCATCTGAAAAACATGTGACTTGAAGCCAATGCAATGACACTAAACCCACTCTAGTGAGCAATTCTGTAAAAGGCATCCATCTCGGAGCCCAGCCATTAGTGAAACTCAGTATTGTACAACAATCTGACTTACCCCAAGGTCTTACGGCAGAGTCCTGGTATGGTGTCAACCTTTGAATCACCTAATCTGTGAAGGAGCCAGCTGGCTTACAGAACTCCTGAAATTGAAACGCTACCAGAGATGGGAAAGTATGCCTGCCTTAGTAACTCTAATAAGAGGCTCTCGAAAACTGAAAACCACACAATGGCCAACAATGTTTTAGTTTCTGAGAAGTTCCTTGTCTAGTGGGGAAAGCAGATAAAAAAAAATAAAAAAGCTTAGAAAATAATTCAAGTGTAATAGTAAGGGTAGGTCCAGGGTGCTGTCAGAACACAGAAGGACACCTCATCCAGACAGATGGTAAGGGCCAGGGAAGGCTGTCACTCTGTCTAGTTATAAGAAATTCAGAGTACATTTGATACGTCTTGTCTTGAAGATGACACTTGTCCTCCAAGTGAATCAGACTCTCCCCAGAACCGTGCCAGAGGACTTAGCTCTTCTCATAAAAGCTGTATGTATTTATTCATCTGCATCCTTGGTGAACGCAAGAAAGGTCAGAAATGTGTCAATGTTTAGACATAGGCCAGTGCTACTGCTTTTTAACCTATGGTCCACAGCCTTGTCAACCGAGTTACTGAATTAATATTCCTCCCTACATGCTTTTCTTTAAAAATCCTGTTCTTGGGCTTCCCTGGTGGCACAGTGGTTGAGAGTCCGCCTGCCAATGCAGGGGTCACGGGTTCGTGCCCCGGTCCAGGAGGATCCCACATGCCGCGGAGCGTCTGGGCCCGTAAGCCATGGCCGCTGAGCCTGCGCGTCCAGAGCCTGTGCTCCGCAACGGGAGAGGCCACAGCAGTGAGAGGCCCGTGTCCCCCCCCCCCCCCAAAAAAAAAATCCTGTTCTTTCATGTCTTCCAATCTGAGTGCCTATTTCTCTTTACATGATTTTTAACAAATCTCTACCTAACCACTTAGACAAACTATTTAACTTCATGTGACCTTATTTATTCTGGAAAATAAAAGCATAATTGCCTTAGACAAAATTTTTTTTAGTTTACATTATGCAAGACTTCATCTCACTTGATATTTGCTATTTTCCCTTCCCCATTCTTCTGCATACTTCCAGGAGGTCTCCTGAATAGTCCGTGCCCAAGCAGCATAAGCCTAGGAGTTATTTTCAGTATCAGGTCTGTCTATATAACTAAATACCTAGAAACGTTTCTATTTCCTGTAAAGTCATCTGAGTGAGGTGAGCTGAAAATTGGAGAATGGGCTCTATCTGGGCTGCCTGGAGAGCTCAAGGCCCTAAAAGTGAATGTTGTCTTCTAGCTGTCTCACAAAGCTGTTTATCATTCCTGGCTTTACATCCAGGACAGGGTCTGACCAGCCTGAATCGTGACAAAATTAGGCTGCATATTGGAAACTTCGTATCCTTTTCTCTTTTCTCACTGGCAATATTCATGTGTCCACTATTCCTCTGGACTAGAGAGGCCAAACCAGCTCAGGAATGACAAAGGCTGGGCCCTTTCAGTTGCAGGCTGGGGTTACACCACGGGTGTCCTCCAGATGCACTCTCTGTCTTACAGTGGGTCTCTAAGAGTGGAATGATTTGTTGTTCAGTAAGGGCCATACTTAAGGATTTTACCCTGAGTTTGGACACAATGCAGGGTCACGTTAATTACCTTGGAAATGAGAGTGGTGGTAGCCAGTGGAGAGACTATTTTGGAATAAGACAGTAACGTTATCCAAAGCCACTTCCAGTTCTAATATAAATATGCACCAATTGATAGAACATGCAGATTTTTCTCATTAGATCTGCTAATGTAGTTAAATGGACAGAGTTTTTAACAGCTCTGTTGAGATATAACTCGCATACCATACAATTCACCCAATTAAAGCATACAATTCAACAGTTTTTAGAACAGTCACATAATTGTATAGCCATCACCACAATCTAATTTTAGAATATTTTCATCACACCAAAAAGAAATCCTATTATCCATTAACCATCAACATCCAATGTCCCCATTTCCCTCCCAGGCCTAAGCAACCACTAATCTACTGTCTGTCTCTATAGATTTGCCTATTATAGACATTTCATATAAATAGAATCATATAATATATGGTATTTCGTGACTGGCTTCTTTCATTTATCATAATGTTTTCAAGGTTCCTCCTGTTGTGGCATCTAACAGGGCTTCATTGTTTGTTATTGACAAAAAATATTCCATCGTATGAATACACCACTCTTTGTTTTATTGATTCATCAGTCGTTGACATTTGGATTATTTCTACTTTTTGGCTATTATGAACAATGAGATTATGCCTCATTATTTACAATAGCGAAGACATGGAAACAATCTAAGTGTCTATCAACAGATGACTAGATGAAGAAGATGTGGCATATATACATACAGTGGAATATCATTTAGCCATAAAAAAGGAGGAAATCCTACCAATGTGACAACATGGATGGACCTTGAGGGCATCATGCTAAGTGAAATAAGGCAGACAAATACCATACAATCTAACTTATATGTAGAATCTAAAACAAACAAACAAGCAAACTCATAGAAAAAGAGATCAGATTTGTGGTTACCAGAGGTGGGGTTGCGTGGACTGGATAAAGGGAGTCAAAAGGTACAAACTTCCAGTTATAAGATAAGTAAGTTCTAGGGATGTAACGTACAACATGACTATAGTTAACACTGCTACATGGTATGTATAAAAGTTAAGAGAGTAAATCCTAAGAGTTCTCATCACAAGGAAAAAAAATTTTTTTTTCTCTTTATCTTTTTTTTTTTTTGGTATCTATATGAGATGATGGATGTTACCTAAATTATTGTGGTAATCATTTCACAATGTAAGTCAAATCATTATGCTGTGTACCTTAAACTTATATAATGCAGTATGTTAATTATATCTCAGTAAAACTGGAAAAAATGAAGCTATGAACATTCACGTTCAAGTGTTTGCATGGACGTATATTTTCACCTCTCTTGGGTATATATCTAGGAGTCGAATTGCTGGGTCATATGGTAACTCTACGTTTAACCTGTTAGGAATTGAGAAAACCAGACAACAATGGGAATTTTTCCTAAGAAAATGTTAAGGACTGGCAATAAAAGGAGATCAAGGTTGGAACTGAAAGGGGCTATCCTCAGCCAGACTGCTCTAAGTCTGATAATCTGGGTATCAAAGGTAGTAACAAAACATATTTCCTAGGCAACACAGAAAGCAAAACTGCAAGTAAACTTTCCAGTAGGCCTACCATCCCAAGATTTTTTCTGATTCAGACAGGAAGGTAGGTAGATTTTCTATTCTTGTAAATTATTTCTACATGACATGTCTCAGAAGTACTTCAGGAGGAATTGTGTAGATTTCACTGTCTAGAGTCAGATCTGGATCTTATAAAGTTGTGCTGTCAAGTATGATGGCCATTAGTTATGTGTTATTAGTTAAATTGGATTTTGCAATTAAGTTAATTAAAATAAAATAACATTTAAAATTTAGGTCCTCAGTTGTACTAGCCACACTGCAAGGGTTCAAGAGCCACATGGGACTCGTGGCTACTGTATTGGGCATTTCCCTCACTGCATAAAGTTCTATCAACAGGATTGCTGTAAAGCACAGGTTCTCAAATGGTGGTGATTTAATACCCCCCCCCCCCCCCCCCCCCCCCCCCCCCCCCCCCACCGCCTCCCTCAGCTCCCCTCAAGAAATCTGGCAATGTCTGGAGACATTTTGTTTTTTTCAACTTGGGGAAGGGAAGGTGCTACTGTATCTAGTGGGTAGAGGCAGGGATGCTGCTGAACATTCAGTGATGTGCAGGGCAGTCTCCACAATGATTAGTTACCCCAGAACATCAAAAGTTCCAAGGTTGAGAAACCCTGTTCTAAAGCAATGATGTCCAAACCTGGCTAGCTTTTTATCAAAAAATCAAAAGAATCACCTGGTCAGCTTTGTAAAAATTCTATGCCTGAGTCCCATCCCTAAGATTCTGATTAAGGAAGGCTGAAGAGAATCGAGGAACCTGCGTTGTTCAATAACTTTCCAAGAGATTCTTATGGTTGGCAAGATTAAGAACTATTGTGTGAAAGCAGACTGACTCTTGGCTCTTAATTCAGAGGAAAATCACCTGGTAAACATTAGCAGTGCGTCCAGAATAGAGTAATGGCTCCAAGGCTGTTACCTCTTCTGTTTAATTTCTCCAATTACCTATTTCTCAATTAATGGGGTCATTAAGCACTCAAGACCTGCATTAATGTCCCTCCTCTTTAAAAAAAAATTCTTTCATTCTGCATAAATCCAGTTTGCAAATGATTACCTCTTGTTAATTATTGTACACTTCCTATTTACAAACAGAACAAATGACCTGGAAAATATTTGGCAGCTCTCTATGTTCACTGGTGTTTGATGAGAAACAGCTGAGCAAACAAGCATGCCAGCCCTGTAGGTAGTATGGCACAGCATATTATTATCCATTCCTTTGCTACCAACTAAATACATGGAAGTAAAATTCATTTTAAGTGCTTTAAAGTTGCATACTTTAAGGTCAATATAATTCTTCTGAACTTAGAAAAGTGTAAAAATGTATTAATTTTAGCTTTAAGGCATTTTTTTCCTTTCCATTTGTCATCACTCTGTACTAAATTACAAAAGGGAACAG